GTCGGCGCATTTGATCTGATCAGTGTAGAGACGCTTTTCCAAGCACATGGTAGAGAGCAAAAATTCTTTATCACCCAATTTAAACCCCTTAACCTTGTCATTATTTCTAATCATTATTCCAAAAACTTCAAATACATAACAAAAATAAAATTAATATGGACTTAAACTGTCCCCCTGTCTACATCCTGTCTCTTATACACATCTAGATGTGTATAAGAGAGAACCTTTAATGAGTACTGAGCTTCCGGATGGTCCATGGAGATCGGTAGGAGTAGATTTTCTGGGACCATTACCAACAGGGGATTACATTCTCGTCGTTGTTGATTATTACAGTAGGTTCTATGAAATAGACATTATGAGAAGTACAACAGCTGATAGAACTGTACGTTCACTAGAAATTATGTTTGCACGACATGGCTTACCGCAAGTCATTGTCAGTGATAATGGCCCACAATTCATATCAGGAGAGTTTAGAGACTTTGTAGAGGTAAATGGAATTAAGCATCAGAAGGTGACACCGAAATGGGCACAAGCAAATGGGGAGGTTGAACGTCACAATAAATCAATCTTGAAGCGACTTAAGATAGCGCATACTATGAAGAAAGATTGGAAACGAGAGCTTACACGATATTTAGCTGTGTATAGAACGACTCCTCATCCTTCAACAGGCAAGACACCTGCTGAATTGCTAATGGGTAGGGCCTTAAGGACCAAATTACCAGAATTAGAGAGAGTGATTGTAGACGAGGAGGTTAAAGATAGAGATCAGTTGATGAAGTGGAAATCAAGGCAGTATGCGGACGCGGACATGAAACGTAACGCACGTCACAGCGATGTTAGACCAGGAGATAGTGTTCTTCTTCGCCAGGAAGCGAGAGACAATTTCTCGACAAAGTTTGAACCTAGAGGGTATGACGTAGTTTCTAGATATGGTAATCAAGTAACTATAAGTGATCGGAATGATGCAAACAGGCGTCGTCGGAAACGAAATATTACACATGTGAAGAAGTTTTATGGTAGTAGACCACAAACAGATGATGTCACAGTTGAGGATACGGCACTCGATGACTTAATGGAAACTGTACATGAGGAGGGTCCAACAATCAATGAGACCAAAAATTCAGAACGGCAAAGGAGGTATCCTCTGCGTATTAGGAAGAAACCGGATAGACTCGATTTGTAAAGATGACGAGAGTAGTAGTAGTAATTAAAAATGTTGTGTTATAATAGTTTGTAAAGATGTTGTTCAAGAGTAGTCGAAGTGATTTATGATGTTGTTATGTTGGTTAAAAAAAAAAAAAATTCATACACACAGATATAGTATACAGTATATGGTAATTATGTTAACTATCATTATAACATTGTGAAGTAGATAACCAGCACTCACTTTTCCGAATAAGGTTTATTGTAATAACATAATTTGCAATATTAATGCATATTGGTTTGGTAGACTATTTACAGTTTGTTTCAAAGACTTGCAGTACATGCATGTAAAATGTTTAACGGTTTTCATTTAATTTTTGAATTGTTTGTTAAGCTATTGTTGGATAGAGTAATCTGAAAAAGGGAGAGATGTAGTGTACTCAAAGTTGTATATCGCCCTCTATTATTGTAAGAGCAGAGAAAGTTCGAGTTGGTTGTGATGGTTGTTGAATATGGTGGATAATAAAGACAGCCGGTTTGGATTACTTAGATGTGGCTTTGTTGTTCATTTGTCTCAGTGAGTGAATGAGAGACATAACAAATGCAAGAAAAAAATAATTGATTGATAGTAGCTTCTGGAGTTTTATTTATTGGCCTGTCAGGAAAAATTTGGTCAGGGGCCAAAATCGGTCCGCCGGACCGATTTTGGCTTTAAAATTACCTGCCACATAGTTATAACTTTATTTATAACACACAGTTATAACCTGTATTTTTATAACGTTGTTCAAATGCCTAAAATGTTTTCATTCGTTATTGTATTTGTAAAATCATAGGTGAAATCAATGGTGAAAATTAAGTAAAGCTTCGCGCCCAGTAAACACTTTGGTGTAAAAGTACGAAAAGAATTAGTTAAATCGTGTTGGTCCGCGTAGTTTATTTTTTACCTTGTTTTGTTTTGGTTGCGTGTGCTCCGCGACGAAGTGCATGCATTCAATTCTGAGAATGTTTACGCCTTTATTACATGTATTAGAACATCTATTGTGTGACCTAATACCCCACACAATAATACGGAATATTAAAAACTAATAAATCAGTCTTGTGTTGATCATTTTAGGCCCAAACGTAGGCCTAACCACGGCCGCCGAAAATGATGCACGCTGTGTATATCGCCTAGGCCTAGGAAATGCATTACCAATATCCAGGTATATAAAGTATGCCAAAACAGGCTTCGGTCATGTTTGATCTCCATAAACGGCCTACGTCTGTTTGGAGTCTACTATTTCATTTCGGATAGCTAGCCATGTGTAAATTTATTACTTAACACAATTATTTAAAATTATATAATTCATTATTTAACATATAATTGAATAGATCACCCATTATTTATATATAATGCATTTACGTCTAAAAGATTATATGTAAATAATTGCGTTAACGTTTCATTATTTATATATAATTAGTTTAC